TACTCGGGGTTCGGGGTCTAAGATAAAAAGTATCCCCATCCTTGATTTATAAATTCATAATTTCCTCATTCCCATCTCCGATAAAATCGAAGTTGCTTGAGGTTCAGGGTTTTTTACCATCCCTGGATAAGAATATCCATCACATTGCAATTATCAAACATATATTTTATATGTTATAAGCAATTACTTTACTATCAGTTCTAATACAATAATTTAAAACCAATAATTTAGCTTTTTTGTCATTATATTATACTTTCAGTTAACTAAATTTGGGGAAATGACAAAATTAACCACTTTATACAACCCTCTTACACAAAATAACCATTTTTTAGGGGTTTTATAAAACTAACCACACGGATCGCCCCCTACTAGTAGGGTGCGATCCGACCTTTTTCTTAGAAAAAAAATTTTAAATTTTTTTTTTTACCACTTGGGGAGAGCCATGTAATCGGATCGCCCACGGGGCGATTCAGGCTTTAAGTATTTTTTTTATAATTTTTTTTTCTTTGTAATACCAATTTCACTATAAACACCAACATCCTATTTCATAATTTTTCACACATTCCCTTTCATTTATCTTCTCATATATTCTACTTTCACAACTTTTAACCCATTAAACACAATCAACCATCACAAAACATGAAATCACGTCAAAGTGATGATGTTTGTGTGTATCTTCGAAGTGGCGGTTAAAACCCGTACGCATATATACGTTAAAAATAAGTACATAAAACGTACGTGAATATACGTAAATATGTGTACGTGTTAAAACCCGTACGCATATATACGTTAAAATACGAAGTTTCAATTTTTTTTACCATTTATATCTTTTTTTACATAATGCATCTATATATATATATATATATGTTACCGCAATTTATATCGCTTTTTTTTACGTTATGCATCTCTATATATATACGTTACCGCAATTTATATCGTTTTTTTTTTTACGTTATGCATCTCTCTATATATATATACGTTACCGCAATTTATATCGTTTTTTTTACGTTATGCATCTCTATATATATACGTTACCGCAATTTATATCGTTTTTTTTACGTTATGCATCTCTATATATATACGTTACCGCAATTTATATCGCTTTTTTTTTACATTATGCATATATATATATATATATATATATATATATATACACACGTTACCACATTTTATATCGTTTTTTTTACGTAAATGTAAGTGGGTATATATACATACGTATAGTACACATATATACGTACATACATACGTGAAGATATGTAAATATGCGTACGAGTTTTAACCCGTACACATATATACGTATAAAATACGTATGTAAAACGTACGTGAAGATACGTAAATATGCGTATGGGTTAAAACCCATACGCATATATACGTTAAAAATACGTACGTTTGAATATACATAAATATGCGTACGTGTTAAAACCCGTACGCATATATACGTATAAAATACGAAGTTTTAATTTTTGTACCGTTTATATCGCTTTTTTTTACGTAATGCATCTCTCTATATATAAATGTTACCGCCACTTCGAAGATACATACAAACATCATCACTTTGATGTGATTTCATGTTTTGTGATGGTTTATTGTGTTTAATGGGTTAAGGTTGTGAGAGTAGAATATATAAGAAGAGAAATGAAAGGAATTGTGTGAAAAATTATGAAATAGGAGGTTGGTATTTATAGTGAAATTGGTATTACAAAAAAAAAAAAATACTTAAAGTCTGGATCGCCCCCGGTAGACAAAAGAAATTAAAAAAAATTCCTAAGAAAAAGGGCGGATCGCCCCCGAAATGTACGGATCGCCCCCGGGGACGATCCGTGTGGTTAGTTTTGTAAATCCCCTAAAAATGGTTATTTTGTGGAAGATGGTTGTATAAAATAGTTAATTTTGTCATTTTTCCACTAAATTTTATTATAATTTAATATCGTTATTTTAATTCATATTAATATATGATAATAAATTATATAATTTTTAGATATTTTAACTAAAAAAGGTAATATTTTTATTATTATAAACCAAAATATTAAATAAAGAATGATTGCTACATACATTTACATTTAAATAAATGAATAGTAAGCCATTTACGTCAGGGGACTCCAATAATTGAGGAGTGAATCCCAAAAACGATTTCGTTACCTTTCGATCAATCATAAACCTATAAATTAGTATTTTATTTAAAAAATAAATGAAATTATCGATTAAAATAAACATGCAATCAATGTTTTATTCTCCGTTGGGGTGCTCTAATAATTATTTAATCAAACACAAGTTTACTTTTTGATGCATCACATATTCACATGTGAGTAATTTAAATCGTTCTAATTAAATATTTTGACATGCGATCACATTTTCTTTTTGAATTATCAGATGCTAATAACTCGTTAGAAGGGGTAGAAGCCTGTATTCGTTTGTGGACTGTAGTTTTATTCATTACGTTGTTTGTTTGATTCAAAATAGTTAAGTTCATTTTGTTTTGATGTTTAATAGAAATAGTAGTGATCGACACTTTTGTCTAATAAGCATATTTATATATCTACGTTCTCTATGCACCTTCGAATTCATTATTATCTTTTTAAAGATCAAAAATCATAACTTCACACACCTTCATTACTTTTCCTAATTTGTTTTTCTTCAAGCTCATACATGTATATATTCTCATATGAATATATATTACACAAATAACTACATAAGAATGTACACATGCATTACATGTACCATGACCATGACCATATTCATATTTGAATATGTATTACATGTGATCACTATGACTAATATTCACATATCACCATAAATATATTTACATGTAAATATTGTCTTTATTTATATATTATCATGGGTATTTGCACGGTATCTGAGGGATTGATGACAAAAGAAAATTCGTATATATACAAAAAATAATGAAAAATTATGATTGGTTGAATACGAAAATTTGGAGAATTACAAAAAAATAAGATAGAAAGTGTGAAATTCTCCAAATTTGAAGAACTCCTAAAAAGTAATTACCATGAAAAATTAAATTAATCAAAAAATTAAATTAAGAGTAAATTACATTCTTGGTCCCTGTGGTTTATGTGTTGTAACACTCTAGTTCTTATTTTGAAATATCTATGGATTACATCCTTGTGGTTTGCATTTTATAACACATTGGGTCCCTGTATTTAAGTCTCTAAAAAAATTCGTTAACTCAAGGGTATTTTTGTCCTTTTATCTTTTTGTGCATCCTCAACTTCCATTACGATGTCTTCATTTTGATTCAGATGTTCTGGTATAACTTCTAAGGTTACATATCTGGTTTATTGCAATTGTCATCTGTTTTCCTTTGTCTTTGAATATGAATAAGCAAAGCATTTACGAAATTGTTGGAAATATCATCGATTTTTCATCCCTTCCTTGAGCTTATGTTGGTTAAATTCCTCATCAATGAAAACAACTTTGAGGCGTTCCACAATTCTGATGTTTCTCGTAGGACAACAAATTCTATACCCTTTGATTTCTCAGGATAACCAATAAAATACCCACTAACAGATCTAGAATCAAGTTTGATTTCTTCGATCTAATACACATTGGCTTATGTATTGCATCCCTATACATGTAGTTGGTTCAGATTGGGTTTGTATCCACACCATAAATCGAAAGGGGTTTTGAGACTGCTTTGTCTTCAAGGCCTCACCTAAAGAAATTTTGGTAGTCCCTAATTTACAATCATACTTCTAACCATGTTGATTAAGGTCATGTTCTCTCCTTTCTTGAACACCATTTTGTTGTGGTGTATAAGGAGTTGTGTAATGTGCTTTTACAACACCATTTTGGTTGTGACTTCAGGTTACGGGGCAAATTCGCGTAAATCACATGTGATTTGTACATGATGTTAGTGTAACATCACATGTGATTTAGCCGTTTTTTTATTCTATAAAATAGGTACTGTTTTCGTTTGAACCCGACTCTCTTTATATATTAGAGGTGGCCAAAAGTCGGTCTCGGGCCGGGCCCAAATCGGTCCCAGTCCCCAAAATAGTGATCACGTAATCGGTCTTGGCGTAATCGATCCTAGTCCTGTTCTAGGCCTAAATACCAAGGCCCGGTTAAGGTGTAGGAGGCCCAATTATGAGAACTGGTTCCTGGGTCAGCCCCAAACTAGCCTATATTAAAAAAATTAAAATTCGTTTTTTATGTAATTTTTTTTAAAGTTTTTTTAAAAAAAATACAAAAGTTTTAATCTAATACACTTGAAAAATATGTAATTTGGTCAATTAAATACACTTAAAAAAACAATTTTTTGCAAGAATTGTGAATGTTTATGAGTTGGTATCTCCCCACATACACCACATTATTTATAGAGTGAATAGAGGGTAAATGAGACAATTAAACACACTTAAGAAATACGTTTTATTATAATTTTGTAATTAGTTTTCAAACAAATACACTTAAAAAGTAGAAACACACATTTAAAAAAATACATTTTTTTGGAAAAATCGGGCCGCGACCGGTTTGGGCTGGGCCGGGCCTTGTTTTGTGAAGAAAACCGTAACTGGTCCTTAACCTGTGGTCCCAAACTGGTCCCATTCGGTCCCGATCCTCCACCTACCGGGGGACGTACCTTTAACCGAGCCTTACTATTTTCAACGAGACTGGGACTGGTCCGAATTGTTACTGTTTCGGCCCGAGACCGATTTCGGCCTGGCACGGCCCAAGATCGGTTTTTGGCCATGTCTATATATTATATAATTCAATTGTGCAAAAAATTGTGTTGGGCCTGTCCAGTGTTTGTTTGGCCCAAACCCACAAATGATCACATCTGCCAAATAACAATTATAACACCAACTACAACCATAACACTTATGTTCATTTCAAAATCCAATAATTCCATCTCCAGATTCTCTTGGTGAAGCTTTATTTCATTTCATCATCTTCCTTTCCATGTTTATCGATTTTAGAATTATTTTCTATTAATTCCATACATTTATAAAAAGCATGAGTAAATGACCCATTGAGAGGTATTTTCAATGAAAAAGCATATTATTAATTTAACAGCACAACAAATTTACATTTTCCAAATCAAAAAACACATCAATCGAACGTGAGTCAAATCTTGAGGTAATCAGCATTCAAGGGGTTGAACACGTGACTAGCATGTGTCTCGATGTAGTTCATGTGTTCCATTGGCATGTGCATGTACACAACCCAATCCTTGTCATTGGTCGGACTAGGCAATGTCATCACATAACTGTCTTTCCGTTCAGACGGGACGTGACATGATCCAAAAGCCACTTTACCCCACCCAAAGTCCATTTTGTCCATGATTTGGAACCTCTGTCCCGATGACACCATCACCGACATTTCATTGTTGGCAAACGCCCTTGCCACTAGCGGCTGCGACCGCCGTTCTTCCACCCAGTCTATCAAATCGAGGAAATGGTCTTTCCCGGTGGCAGTCTGCAAGAACTCATGAACCTCCGTAGCCAAGTTGCTCAATGACATGTTACTCAACTCCTAAAGTTTCAAAATGATGATTGAATTAGATGTGACAAAATGCTAAAAATAAGAAAGAAGAAGCAAGAACGATAAAAGAAAACCGTAAGCTTACCTGTGATCGTTTTGCCCCACACGACATCGATAAAACATTGCCAAAGTGCGAAACCATTAGCTTTTCTTTTTCTTCACCATCTCCTTCGCTTACCCTTCGCCTTCCGTCAACTGCAATTGCCACATTGCACATCTGGTTGCGGTATCCCGAGTCTTCCATGCTCAGGGCAACTATCTTCCACAAGAAAGAGGTGAAGGCCTCTAACTTCGACCTCCTAAGCCCATTTTCATTTGCCAACAATTGTATCTTGTTAAGTTGGCCCCCCTCGATGTAGTATACACGGTTAATGAGTAGACCATCGTGGTTTTGATCATTATCGGGCTTGGATGGTGGTTCGAATATAGCAAACACATTGTCGATTGACGAAGAATAAGTGGTTGGGCTCCTTGGATTGAGGATGGATCTCCGAAAGGAGGGTAGCATAGATGGGGTTTCGGATCGAGCCAGGTCTCCCCATGATGAGATAAACATGTTAGCCGAGTACCCATCTGCAGCCCTATGATCAAACATGCACCCTATCACCATGCCTCCACATTTTAACTCCGTAACCTGTATTTTACGGTAGACAATGTTAGTACAAGTTTTTTAGAAGGTGACCAGTGACAACAAAAAATTAGTGACTGCTATATATACCTGGATAGAAAGCACGCCACGTGGCTTATTTGGTATTAGTTTACCCTCAATGCACTCATCTGGATTGTAGAAATTAAGCTCCTTCAGCTGCACGTCTGCAACAGCATAGATGAAGTCAACGCCTTGGTTGTTGCAGTGAATTTGATTCTCTCCGGCAGCTGCATTCCATACGATCTCACCGGCGAGGGGGTAATAGAGTGTTAGAGCTCGAGATAAAGAAGCTTTCAGGGTGCTTAGCATGGTGGCGAAACTCCCATGGGAGGGTTGGTTGTAGCAGAAGAAAGAGCCCACGTTAAAAGGTGGGACAAGCAAGTCTAGGTTTGTAAATGGTAACCAATGGTCATTCCATGGTTCTTCTGCACCCACCACCACATTCTCAATCACTTCCACTGAGAAACCCTTACCGCTAATCCCCATATCTGCACAGAGAGCGAGAGAGAAGTGTTGCAGGTTGAGGTTAACACAATGACATGTGCGTATATATAGGAGTAGATCGGTGGCATATGCGTTTAAGAAGTGTTGCAGGTTGGTTTACTTAATGTTGGAGAGATAACCACATGTACAGTTGAATATTATTTTGTTGCAGCACATGACAATTCCTTCCGTCCAAATTCAGGCCTTTTCGTTCATTTTTGCTTTTCCATTAGATAATTTGACACATGTAAGATACACTCAAGCAAAGTAATCTCTACATCATACAGTTTTAATACAATCTCATACCATTTAGAACCTTGAGTTTATCTAAACGGTCCTATTTTTTTTAACTATTTTTTGCGTTAACAATTTTTATATAGCATTCGTTGTAGCTTTTTTTTTCTTTTGTTTGTACTAGAAGAGAACTCGTGTAATGCAGTGAGACACATCTCGATTTTAATGTTCTATTTTATTATTTGTTTATGTCGATGTTATAATACGATTTTATGTGTTTTTAAGAAA